TGGGTTCAATCTCTGGTGCCACACACATAAACACAAAAGGAATAATAAAATAACTCCTAATAGAAAATATTTTTTATTACTTGTCCACTTTTCTGAAGTACTTTTAAAATACTAGATAAACATTTTCTCATATTTATTTGTTATGTGGTATGGCTTTGTGACTGTAACTCGTCTTTTGCTTACACAAGTTAGTTCCATCTTCAGTACATTCACAAAGCTCTCCAAGATCAAAATTAAAGACTCTAGTATTAACTACAAATGTAAGAAGTTGCATTTGTCAAACAGACCTAAAACAATTTCAACACATCATTACTTCATTTCTTATGCAGAGAAATTGATTCAGCTATGCTAAGGTGTGGGCAGAAAAACTGAATTAGTAATATTTATGCATGAGTATCACCATCTAAAATATAACTTTGATGTTATCTGCTATTTGTCCTCATTCTTAAACTCTGTAGGTAATACTTTTTTCTAAACCATCTTCAGTTATTTGTATCATTCTTCTTTTCATATGACATTGCTTATTCTATCTAGATTTTGCTACACAAAACAAAGACATTGCTCAGGCTTTCCAGAAAATAACCAAGGAAAATTAGACTCTGATTTCAAGGAATAAGGGAACAATAGGTAAAAAGTAAGCAACAGAACTGTTCTCTAGGTTTTTTTTTTTTTCATTTCTCCATTTCATGGGAATGATCCACACCTGACTTCCATCACTACCAAATAAGTATTTCCTATTTGAATATAGAAATAACATGGATTATCATCGTCACCCAAAGGCAACTGAATTTTAGTGCTGGATTTGGGAACACAAACATTTTCCAAGACAATCCAACCTCACACAACATTGTTGCCTTCAAATTATGTGAATATAATCAGATTTATTTCTGGAAAAATAATAAGCAATTCGTTTTATATCCAACACGCCTCTCCACTTTATCATACAGCTTACAGGAAAAAAAAATCTTGTCATTATCACCTCTTTTATAGTTTTGAATACCTTATTTTTTTGTGTTGGGCAATAGTAAGCTGAATATAATCTAGTCCAGGTGTTCAGGGTCTTGGTTGAAGAAAAACACAATCCTAGAATAAATGTGCATGCACAGATGTTAAACTCTGAATTCTTTTATAGCTGTACTATTGAATGGATCCTTGAAAGGATACTGTATGCTATGTGTCCCCAAGAGATTATTTCAGAATATCAGAGACACAGATGCTGCTATGGAAATCAAGTTCTATGGGGAGAGAAAAAGAATGCCCACATTATGATAAGAAAGGAAATAATATCCTATGTGTGTTTTGTCTCTTAGGAAGTATACACAAGAAATGAAGAAAATAAAAATGTATGTTACTTTAGTGAGATTTAATCCTATGGTAGATATGTGTTTGCTTCTTATTCACTGCTTTATGTAAAACTGATCAAAAGTACTTAAGCAGAGAATGTTTTGTGCATTCATACCCAAATTCATTTATTAAATTTCTTTCATCATTAATGTAGCACTTTATCCACTTAATTAATGTTTATGGAGATTTTTTGTTTTACTTTCTTAACTAGGCTAGGAATTGTGTGAACCTGGTTCCTTGTTAAAAAGTTTTCTTTCAAGTAAGAAAAATGAAGGATCAATATTATAGTGGTCTTAAACATCATCAAAACTGAAGTTATCAAATGCATATTTTCTTAAATTATTTTAATGTCCTGAAATATATTATTGTTAAAGAAAATGGTTAGGTATATTTCTACATTAATAAGTATATGCATGTATTGATATGCATTTATTGTTTTAACAAAATATGATGCTACTGTTTTACAACATAATGACTACTATATTGATTTAAAGTTATTTAAGTGGTACATTCCAAAAAAGGATTCTTGTGATGGCATATGTGTACAATTTATTTATACATGGCATATATATATATACATATATATATATAAACATTTTGAGAAGAAATGTTATGATAAATGAGCATCACTGTGAAACTTTTATGACATTTCTGATCTAATTATTTCTCAAAATAAATTTCTATAATATATTAGATTCTCCTTTCTTTCTTTCATGCCAATAGATATCTGCCAAATTGATAATAAACTATAATCATCATTTAATAATACTACTGATTGCTGAGTAAAAATACTGTTTTAATATTTTATATTGCTAGCTGAGCTCAGTGTCACATGCCTATAATCCCAGAAATTGCAGGGATGAAGCAGGAAGACTGAAAGTTCAGAGCAACTTAATGACCCAGTCTTCAAAATAAAATTTATATAAAGATTGGGGATGTAGCTCAGTGTTAGAATGCCCCTGGGTGAAAACCCAGTATTGGAAATAAAAATTATATAACCAAATTTAATGCATTGTGATGGAAGTTGCTTTTATTATTTCTCCTTTTGGGACTTGATGGTAATTGGGTAATTTCAGTAATAACAATGTGATCTGTCTTAATGTTTTATATATGCTTGACAAAAGTACATCTTATCTGTACAGACATGGAAATGTTAACCACCATGATCAAGTGATCACTTTATAACTAATAGGTTAGGGTGGAGAAAAAGATACTGGGGCTATATACCTTATGCAATGTGATATTTTGTTTCACCTATTAGTTGTGAAATGGGCTATTTGTTGTTGTTCTTTTATATGCAAGGGCTTTTTTTGTTGTTCTTTTTAGTCGAATCTATTTTGATGTACTGATACAAGCATGGAATATGCTTGTATTATTCTAATTAGGATCCCTGTCTTATGCTAATTCTAATTAGGATCCCTGTCTTATGCATGAACATGATGTTGAGATTCAAAGTAGTGTACTAATGACAAGGGAATGAGTCTGACATAACTTTCTTATGTAAATATATAAAAGTTTATTGGCTGATCATACTTCAGCAAAGCTGGGGGAAAAAATCAAGATTAAAGATCATATTACAAAAAGATATGATAAGTAAATAAAACATTTGGTCTTGGATCAAATCTCAAACATGGACATAATTGCCATAAAGAATATTATAGAGATGTTTGTAAAATACAGATGTGTATTATGAATCAGTTTGTACTATAGTATAAGTGTAATTTTTTAATTTTATGGTTATATTGATCATTGTCTTCATTATTGTAAACACACAGTGAATTATTTGAGTGAACAGGTAGAATGTCTATGACTTACTTTCAATTAGTTCATGAAAATGGTGCATAAACACATATATAGATGTACACATGGAAATAAAGAAAATAATAAAGTAATGGAGCAAAATGTAAATATTTGATGAATCTCTATAAAGAGTATGCATAATTTCTTGTTCTAGTTTTATATTTGCATTAACTTAAAATAACATCAAAATATAAACAATTTAAATTATGTTATAGAAAATATAGCAGAAAATAAGTTATTTAAAATATTGGGTTTTGTTCAGGATTCTGTGATATCTGCTGGCAGCTTCTAAAGTTGTATTCTTTCTTCATTTAAAATAAATAGCTGTTTATTTTCAAATTCTTATTTTCTAAAGAAAGCCCTTCAATTTGAATACACTTCAACTCTAGAAAACCTGGATCTGAACCTGGAAGCCTACATGGAGACAGGGAAAACCAGTCCATGTGAGAAGAGAACAATCCTTTCCCTACCCCACCTTTCTCACACAGAGACACATGTAGGCACATAGAAACACATAGATACAAACATAGCCCACACACTAGAAGAGAGACCATGTAGCTTAAAGGGACTGGATGTAAGTTAGTTCTTATGAATTTCAAACTGCCAAATCAAAAAAAAAATTAGTTACACTCTATCTAGGTTCTATGATAAACTTCTATAAACTGTGTTAGGTTATACACTTTTGGCTGATGTGGGATGAAGTGAGATGCTGTTCCTTAAACCAGAGAAGCTTCTTGATTTCCACACTCAGGACAGTGGTATAGAATGAATGCTCTTCAATCTGCATCCACAATAAATAAACACTGGGGTGACTTTGGCTTGGTTTTCTATTCTGTAACTCGTGGCTTACTTTGAAAATCCATGGTTTACACTCCTTACCTCTTCTCACAATGTTCTCTTCCTTTTCTTTATGCTTTGCAGCATTTTATAGGCCCTTGCATATATTCATGATAGTTTTGATTCTTCTGGACTGTAGTGTGTACATTTTTGTACTGGGATATCATGCCATATTTGGTTATAATGTTATAATGTACAAATAAAAATACAGAGAAAATCTGTCATCTCTGTTTTATTTATTTCCCTTAGTTCCCCTATTTATCATGGTAATGCTTATTTGGGAGAAACTGAAAATATCAAACACATGTTTTCTTAAACTATCTTAATGTCTCAAAATACATTTTCGTTAAAGAAAATGGTTTCATGGATCCATAAAACATCATGTCTTTTGTCTTTATTGTGTTACCTGAAAAAATATTTAGGTCTCATAAAGAAATAGATTCAGGCTAATAAAGGAAACTCTTCACATTATTTTCATCATACCTGAGACCCAAGTAAAATGACCCTTTTTAATCTAACGAAAAGGAGAGTGACAATACATAATATATGCTAGATTTTCTAGCTACTGATAGATCTGAACACCAAATTAATATTCATATTTCAATATATACCTTGTAAAATATTCCAGCTACTTCATGATAGACTCTGAGTCTGTATCCAAAAGAAAGCAGCCAAGATCAAAGTCCAAAGCAAAGCAAGACAGGTCAGATTGAAATATAAGATAAAGTATGATATGCCTTATTTCTTCTCTTCACTGGTTTTAAGATTATAAAAACAGGTACAATAACATTCTGAGAGTATGACATGTAATTCATGCTCCTGTCACTTATTTCCTAGGTTGACTATGTGCACTTTTTCTTTCTTGACTTTTCAGAAGCCTTTACAATTATTTATGTAAAAACATGGGGAAAAAAAGGATCACAAAGACATGCACTCATTCCTCTGTCTTCTTTGAAATTCTACTCTACAGTTAGAATAAGCTAAAGTTCATGTACATCAAGCAGAAGGTTTCTAGTGTCTTACTTCTTTTGTAAACCTAAGCAAAACACCTTCTGGAAACCTTCTCTGAGTTCTATGTTTCTAAGTGCATAAACAACAGGGTTGAGGGAAGGAGGGATGGTGTTGTGCAGCACGTTGAGTAGAACTGGAATCAAAGCATTCTTAGTCTCTGTCAGGTGAGTTACTGAAACCACTACAACAGCTGTGTAGAAGAAGAAGATGAGGATGAGATGGGAGCTGCAAGTGCTCAGAGCCTTGGAGACAGCTTCAGCAGAGTTCAGCCTAAAGATGGAGCGCAGAATCAGGGTATGGGACAGTATAATAAGACTTAGATCACTCCCCATTCCAAGCCATGGCACAACCAATTGACAAATACTACTGGGCCTCCTATCATCACAAGCCAGGCTTGTGACCTCAAGATTAGAACACAGACAATGTTCATTTTCATTCCTGGAACAGTAATGACACTGAGCTACAAGTACAGGCACTGGAATGACAAACAAGCCATTTCTAAGCACCATAAACAGGGTAGCTTTGGTGATGAAGGAATTGGTGACAATCAGTGGGTAGTGAAGAGGATGACAAATAGTTACATATCTATCAAAAGCCATGCAGAGGAAGACAACAGACTCCATGCCTAGAAAACAGTGAATGGCATAAATCTGAACAAAGCACTCTGGGAGACTAATGGCCTTGGCATCAAACCAAAAGATGGCCAGGATCTCTTAGGCACAATGGTGGTGGCCAGACCCATATACACCACAGAAAGGATGCTCAGGAAAAGGTACATAGGCTGCTTCAGAGAAGGGTCCTGGTAGATGGTAGTGAGGATGAGGATGTTTGCACCAATTGTGGAGAGATAGAACAGTGCCAAAGGCAAGGAGAGCCAATGCTGCCAGCTGTGAATGCCTGGGAATCCCATCAGAATGAACTCGGAGACCTGGAATTTGGAGCTATTGGAGCCCTTGAAAGATGCAGACATATTTTTCTATGAGAAAAGGAAAAAAATTTCAGCATTGTTATCTCTGAATATTATCATTATTAAACATTATTTTGAACTTTCTCTGTATAGATTGGGGCTATAACAAAATGACTGTTCCAGTCTATCTCTTACAATAATTTACAGTGAATTATAAGAAAATTCTAGGATTTTAGCAAGAAAGGAAACTTAAAAGTCACAGATTTGTGACTGGGTGTGCAACTTGGTGGCAGAGTGCTTGCCTAGCATGCATGAGCCTCTGGGTTCAATCCCCAATACTTCCAAGACAACAACAACAACAACAAAGACAATTATTACATTAACTATCTAGAGAAATTAATCATGAATCTCAAATATCCTTTTGTATCATATTCAATTATCCCATGCTAGAATATTTATGTAATGATTCTAGCCTTTCTCAAACCTTTTTTTTATTTTTTCTGAAACTTTTGCAATTAATTGAATGTTCTTGTTTTCTTCATATTAATCCAAGGTTCCTTGACTCAGGTGTTCATTAACTAATAATAACTAGACTTTTAGTGTGGAATTATAAATGGGTGATGACATTTTTTGGCCATTTCATTACAAGTTGATTTCATTGACATTTTATTCTAGTCTACCAAAATTTTGTAATAATAAACTTCAGTGGCTTTCGGAAATAAATTATTTCACAGATTGGGGGTAGAAATATTTCCTTTCATACTATTTTGTGTGCCCATCTAAGGAGATCACAAAGAATTGCTTAACAGGAAATTAAGTTATGGTAGATGAATATTTCAAATAAGAATCATATAATGGCATAGATCTTAGCACTTTTTTCCCTAGCTGAGTTCTAAAAAACTTTGAAAAGTGGGATTAAGCGTAAGCAATATGATTTTTTAAAAAATCATTATGCTAAAAACACTGAATATGATCATTTCCACCATCTTAAAATTTTTAGTACATGATACAGAATTGTTGATGATAGGTACAATGTTGAACAAAAGGTCTCTGAGATTTGTAAACACTGAGTAGGAATTTTATCCTATCTAGCAAGATGACTTATCTATCATATTGAGGGAATTGTCAGAGGATACTCAGAATTATGTTAAAAATTAAATAACTAGACTTATTATGAAAATTAGACTTATTATCTTTCCTCAAAAATTCTTGCTTTTCATATTGTCTTTATCTTGTAAGGTCACCCAACCAGTCAAGTCTGAAACAGGTTTTGAGGTAATGCAGACTTCTTTCTCTTTTCCAGAAATTAGAGGAAAATTCCAAAAGAGAACTGGAATGGGAATCATTTGGTTATGCAAAACCTGCTATTTCTGTGAAATGCTTATTTATCACTTTATAGCCTCATGTTGCATAGCCATTTCTCTTTGATGTATTCTCATTTGTTTTCTTTTTTTAAGCTACATGTTTTATTTATTTAATTTATTTATTCATTATAGACAAATTGTAGTTGTATTTATTTGTGGGGCACATAGTGGTGTTAAAATTTTTAATACATTGTGAAAAGATTAAGTTAAACATATTAATGAACTCATCACCCAAAATATTTAATATTTAATATATAATATTAAATAAATTTGTAATATCATTTACAAATCTATTCTCAGTGATTGAAATATTCAGTAATCAATTATTAAATATATTCAGGATTCTGTATAATTGACCTAAAAATCAGAATTATTTCTCCCATCTAACAGAAGTGTTGTCACCTTTTGCCCTCAGCTGCCCATTTTCCTAACCTGCAGACTCTTATAAACACATTTATGCTCTCTGCTTTCAGAAGTTCCTTTGTTGTAGATTCCACATGAGAGAATATGCAGTATTTGTCTTTGTGTGTTTGGTTTATTTCACTTGGCATAATGTTCTCTAACTCAATTAATGTCACAAAAGGCAGATTTTCTTTTCTAAGTCGAAGTATTATTTGTTTATATATATATCACCCCTCTTTATCTGGACTTCTCTTGATGGGCACTTAGATTGAATCCATAACTTGGCAATTGTAAATAATATGGCAATGAACATGAATGTTCAGACATCTCTTTGAGATATTGACTTAAAACCGTTTGTGTACATACCCAGAATAGAGACTGCTGGATCACAGAGGAATTCCATGTTTACTTTTCCCATATTCTTCTAAATGTTTCTCCCTGGTTGACATTTGTTTCTCCCTAGTGATCCAATTAAGAGAAGCAATGAATCTGAGCTTATAGAAAAAGCATTGCTTGCCATTTTTTAACAATTAGATTCTAACATGACATAAAATGTGATTTGTTATGAAAGCATTTAATATTCTATAAATCCTATGTTCTTTTACAGACAGGTAAATTCTCTTATACAATATGATTCGCATATTTTCTTATTCTACACTTAGTGCCTTTTGCAGAGGCTTTACAAGAATCTGTATTCTACTAGGGCAGAGAGCAAGGTCAATCTCTTCCAGGACATTAGCAATACAACATATTGTTTAGAATGAGATCACAAATGATCCGAGGGTTAGCCAGTGTGCCCTTGATATGGTTTAGAACTTACTATGGTTATGAAAAGAGACACAGTCTGATGTCTTCACAATGGAAACAGTTTCCTACTAGGCAAACAGCATTTTGAGAAAAGCTTTATTATGAGATCAGGATTTATTCTGAAAAGAGATATGACACACAAATTATGAACATCAAGAATTTATGGGGGCTGGGGATGTGGCTCAAGCGGTAGTGCGCTCGCCTGGCATGCCTGCAGCCCAGGTTCCATCCTCAGCACCACATACAAACAAAGATGTTGTGTCCACCGAAAACTAAAAATAAATATTAAAAAATTTAAAAAAAAGAATTTATGGGAAGGAGTAAACAGCTAAGTGATGTAAGGGCAATAGGCCTCCTTTTGAGGCATGAGGAGAAAAAGGCCCACAGAGAAAGGGAATTCCTAAGATGTTAAATCCCAAAAATGCAACAAGAAGGTTAGCTCAGAAATGTTTTTCATTAATGCAATCTAAGAACCTATATATTTCTATTTAGAAAGATATGTCATTCATGAAACCAAAGTATTCCTATGACAAGTGGAAAATTTTGAATTGTTCTTCTGATAAAAATTAAGAGAATTTAAAATTATGTGGTTAGGAGATTTCTTTAAATATTTTTTTTAAAAGAAAGTGTTTATTCATTCAAAAATAGAGGGAAAATTTCTACTGTTGGAGAACACGGTAGGGTTTTTCAAAGTAATTGATAAAGTAACTGTTGCTGGTCTCCTGGAAATTATGGTCTAGGAGGGAAAAAAGAGAGATTATTATTCTTTAATAAAAGAGTACTGTGGGCTGGGGTTGTGGCTCAGTGGTAGAGCGCTTGCCTAGCGTGTGCAAGGCCCTGGATTCAATAGTCAGCACCACATATAAATAAATAAAAAGGAAAGTATTGTGTCCAACTATAACTAAAAAATAAATATAAAAAAAATTTTACAAAGAGTATTCTCTCCACTACTAATAAAAAGCAAACAAACAGAGAATTATAGACTGAAATGTTGCTTTAAACAAAACATGAAAGCATATTATGAATGGAATGTATGGATTTTCTGAAATAAGGAAAATATTTATCAAAGGCCAAAGACTTGAGTAGGATTTCAGTATCATTATGTTTGAGGGGTGAGAAGTGAAAGTATTCTGACAACATAAAAATGCTAAGATGAGAGGTGGCATGGAACATTTAGTGCAATAAAAACTAAGTGTGGCTGGAACCCCCAAGTTGTTGGGGGGAAATGGGCTATGGTGTGAGATGTTGTTCTTGAGATAATAGGAACCAGAGATTTTTAAATAAATTTATGTCAAATATTATGGTGCCACTGGAAGTTTTCACAAGTAATTCAGGCATAGTAACAATGTGGAAAACACATTGTAACAAGACTAAGGATAATTTGGATAGACAGCTGCAAGAGTAATTAATTCAAGGGAGAGAGGGGTACATCTGGAACAAAGCAGGACAGGGAAAGATGAAAAGTAAAGGTGGATGGATTTAGAAGACATATATGGGTGACATCAATAATACTTATGACCCCAAAATAATCCTAAGGTCCCAGAATATGCAATGGGATGGAATAAGATGTTATTAATACACCTAGGTGTGATTAGAGAAGGATGGATTGTAGAAGAGAGTAGGTGCAGAATGGTCATGTTGAACGTGAGGTGTGTGACTTGAACAAGTGAACAATGGGAACAAGTGGGAAGATAGCTCAGAGAGCAAGGAACAAACTGACAAAAAAATGAAGTGATTGGTATCTTATATTGAAATCATTGGAGATAATATTATTGGCATAGATTTCCTAGCAAGTGAGGATGGTGAGAAGAAGAAGGGGTACGAGCACCTAGTGCAGATAATCTCTTCCATTTAAAATCTACCTAAATTTTGACAGAAAAGGAAACCCAAATGTAACTGATGCAGAAAGAAAACACAGCAAGGAAATGGATTCATAATGTTACTCTGCTCATAAATTCAATAGTAGGGAAATTTTTTCTTATAGATTAACTTTCTTGGGGACTATAGATAACTTTTGAGGAAGAATAATTTACTTTTGTAGTTCATAAGCCAAAGTCATACTAGGATAAGTTAGAGAGAAGTCAGAAATTATAAAATAGAAAAATTGGTGCATATGAAAATTTGGGGGAAATGTACTCAAGCAAAACCATATAAAATCTATGTTGGAAAAATTCTTAGGGTTTAAAATTGTTTGAAGTGGAAGTAGAACAGTTCCCACAGGTGGGGGTAAAATGATGTGAGAAATGCACAAGTTTTGACAAAAGGGTTTCAAGTTTCAGTTGATCAGGAGGCGTATTTTTTTTTCAGATCCATTATACAACAACACAGTCACAGTCAATAATCATTTTTTATTTGTAAAAATTGCTAAAAGAATAGATTTTAAATGTTCTCACAATAAAAATAAACTTTGTGTATAAGGTGATGGACATGTTAATTACTCAATGTGAGCATCCTACAATATGCAGATACTTGAAAATATCACACTGAAAC